TTCCGTAACAGGAAGTGATTTAGATGCTGAAAACTAATTTTAGATGAGCTGATATGGGGTTTTCAAAGAATACTTTAGGGGTGGTTTTAGACTCAAGGCTCATCCCCCTTTTCCTCTCATCTACAAGGAACTGGCAGTTTCCCACTGTCTTTGTCACTGTCTAGCTGTGTGAACTCATGCACAGCTGGGCAGTGTACTTGGGTAGAAAGCCAGGATTGATTTTCCCTGGATTCCAGGCTGCCTGAGTCATTGTTTTTAGCCCTGAGCCCCAGGCAGACTCTTGTGACTCAGCACAGGCTGACTGTAGATCAGGCTGACCTAGTACCTCTTATCCCTCGTGAGGACAGATTGGAGACGCTGAGAGTCCCGTCAGGACAGGGCTGTCCATCCTTACTTGGACTGAGCCCTGGGCTAGAGGTGATTTGAAGCTTCTGGGGCAAGGGGATTATCCTCTTGGATTGCAAGCATTGTAATGGGGTATCTCCCTCCCAAACCTCTTAGAATGGAGGGCACTCAGACCTAGGATGATTATACTAGAGATGCCATTAGTGCTTTCAACACTGGAATTTGGGACCCCTGCTGGTAGCAGAAGACACAGAAAAGCAGAATAATAGGCAGAGAACTCTCAGAGAGAGTGAAATCCCACTGGTTGGCACCCCAGAGTCAAATGGTTTCTGTTTTTGCCAAGCTTTGAGCCCAGAAAACAGTAGTCTGGGGATCCCTGAGCACCTATACTAAGGTCTACAAAACCCATTTTCATCTGCTATTCCATTCCCCAGGGCTTCCACAAAACCCCTGAAATGGAGAATGCTACCCTAATCTCAAAGAAGCAGCCAGACTTCACTACACTAAGGGAAATGGCCCAGGGCTACATGTAATGCAGGTTGCATCAGAGCTAAGTCAGGTACTAACCTTTCATCATATTGCCAACAGGAGGCCCAACATTCCAGGGAAGAGCTCTGCACGTGTGATACAAGCAGTAGTCAGTGTGAGCCTCTGCCATAAGCATGGACTTCTGGAAGACTGGGAGAAGTGTAATTGAAGTCTTTGCCAGTGCCTATTCTACTCTTTGCCCTCTTGTTTTGGGGTATAGTGGAGTCTGGGAGATAAGATCAGGTCTCTAGGTATTGGTTGGTTTGCAAGAGGAATCACCTCCACTCTGGAGAGACTGTAAACAAACATTCCCGGGGCAAACAATAGTCAACCTTCTCTTTGGCCTCTGCAGCAATCAGTCTTCTGAAGAGGACTAATCAGCGCAGGACTGATGGTTCAGGCTGGCATCAGACCCAGAAAGGAGAAGCACATGCTCACAAAGTTCCAGTGTTTGCAGCCTAATGGCATAGAGTTGTAAACTAAGCTCTGCTTTGAGAGTTCCATAGAAGGTGTCTTTGACCTATTTTCAAGGGCTGTGGTGGCAGGAGGAATTTTTGGTCACATCATAAAGGGTTTTGTGGCCACCTGTGATAGACCCAGCTCAGGAAGTTGTAATTTTCCACGATTAGGTTATTAGTCATCAATGTGATCCCTGCCTCCAGCCCTGGTCCCTGTGCTCCTTCAGCTGACAGAAGTGCCACTTCAGTGTGGCAGCCTGTCTCCTTAGGTTAGATCTCAGCAGCTGGCTAAAGCCCTGGGGGCCCTGAACACTGAAGTTGGGCCCTCAGTATGTTTGCCTTGTTAGCGGAACTTCACAGTCCCATTCCAGGATTTACCCTGCTTTTTAAGTTCTTTAAGCACCAGATTTTTTTCATGGAAAAAATCCCTCAAGGTCTCAATGAAGTGATGTAGGTGGAGGAAATCTGTTACATGGAAGGCCTGTGTGCTCTGTGATATGGGTAACTATGAGGGCCCAGTCTGTGACCTTTCTGGGGCATTTCCATTTTCAAAACAGAGAAAGTCTTAAACCAAAGGAATACATTAATGGAAGTATTTTATAAAGTGCTTTCAGGGAAAGTGCTTGCCCTTTTGAAAGATGGAACTGTGTGGCAATCATTCTTGGTCCCCCCAGCTTCATTTAGGGGGAGAAAATTAGGTGTAGCCTATCCCTTCTTCCAAACTTCTGGATTGTCTCATCACAGCTCCTGGACTCAACCAGAAACTTCTGAGAAGCATTCCTGTGCTTGGTTGGTGGACCACCACTGAGATGAAGAGAACTGCCCCTTGAGCCTTATGAACAAAGCCATGAGGACAGTTATGAACCTTGGTTTCCAGCTGGTGATATTTTCCTAAATGGGAAGGGCCAAATTGGGTGTCCTCTCTGGCCTCTTTCCCAAGCCTGCAACTGCCTCTGGCTTGGACTCTCTGTTGATTCCTCGTTCAGGGCATGCTTGTGTTGAACACAAACACAAGAGGCAAGAGTTGTTGCCATTGAGGCACGCAGGATGGGATGGGGTTGGAGGAACTAGGCTTTTCTTACTCTAATTTCTATCGGAAACAGTCTTGATGTAGCCACAGGGGTGTGTGCATTTATTTGAAAGTAAACTCTTGTTTTCTGAAGTCCTGAAGGCTACTTTGATTCCGGAAGAACCAAGAATTAGCCCAAAGTTTGTGGTGTTTCAGAGCCTCCAAAGATCGTTTTTATGTCTGTAAAGTGCTGTAACCTACCAACTTGACCAACCCAGGTCTCAGGTGCTGATGTGAGTCAGAGAATGGGACTAAGAAATACTTTAGCCTCCAAGTTTTGGACAGTCTTCTCAAAGAATTCAGGAAGAGTATGGCTTGCCCCATGTGGGGAAGTGGGAGTGGCAAATGGGAAGACACTACATCCAGGGTAGGTTTAGAGGGAATCTTGTCAGGTGAATGTGGTTCATGTACAAACTATAAATAAGAAACCTGGAGGAGGGGGCCTCCCCGGTGGCGCAGCGGGTTGAGCGCAGCGCTGTGAAGCTGTCCGCAGCCTCTGCAGTGTGGGTTCAATTCCCGGCCGGCCGGGGAGATTCCCACATGGCGGGCAGACCTCTCCTGCCTCGCCCGCTGCTCCCCTCAGCAGTGCTTTTGGTCTGTCTGCCTGTTCTGGTCCCCATTCTGTCTCTGGTGAATCCTCTCACCCTCCCGCACCTCTGGCCTGTATTCCAGCTCTTGTATAAATTTAAAAAAAAAAAAAAAACTTAAAAAAAAAAAGAAGAAACCAGGAGAACTAGTGTGAACGAGATGACCACTCTGCCCTCAGAGAAACAGAAGTCTGAGTTCATAGGGAAATGACTTTTAAATATTCCAGGTGGGCAAGTCCCAGACATCATTGTATGCTTCTTTGACAGACATCCTTATCAATATGTTTCTCATTTCCACACCTTAAACATTAACAGTGCTGACCACAACTGAGGACTTTGGGAATGACTCAGGATCACTGCTTAGGCTGGCCATTGTGCATTGAAACCATCTCAGTGCAGGTGCAACTGGAGAAGGGACCAGCCCTAAATGGGCACCACCCTCTAAAAGAGTCTCTAGACTGTTTTTGAGGCACAAATCAATTTTCTTTGAATCCTTTTCCTCATTCTTTCTGAAATTCATTTGGTAGATAGAGCCGGATGTTTGAAGCACAAAAGAACCAACTCCATTTCTTGACTGTCACCTACTAGTTGCAGACCTCATTGCTCCTATTCATTTATTCATTCAGCATATTTTGCTTGAGCATATATGTGTGTAACAGTTTCTAGTTTAGCTACTTGGGAGTCATCGGTGGAGGAAACAAAAGAATTATTCCTGCCTTCATAAATATGTATCTTATTAGGGGAAGCACAAAATAAATACAAGTCTGATAACACATTAGAGGGGAATAATTGCTTAAGAAAAAAAATAAGAGCAAGGGAAGGAGGAATTGAGGTGCTGGGAATAGGGTAGAAGGGACTGCAGTCTTATGTAGGGCAGGGCAGATCTCTTTGAGAACACGACATCTAAAGGAGTTAGCTTGTTCCAGGCAAAGGGAAAAGTCAGTAGAAAGATGCTGACTGTGGTGTGTTGAAGGAACAGCAAAGGGGTGGCAGGACCGGAGCAACATGACTGAAGTGGTGAGGGCCACAGAGGAAGAACTCAGAGAGGTGATGGAAAGATGAAGGGGAAGATGACGTTGGGCCTTAAGATCGTGGGAACTTTGGCTTTCGCTCTGGTAAAACACAGAACCACTGGAGAGTTGAATAGAGTAGCATGACCTGACCTAGATTGTAACAGGATCACTCTAGCTGCTGAGTTGTGAGTTGACTGTAGAGCACGGTACAGGTAGAAGTAGGAAAATTAGCGAGGGTCCACTGAGGTATTTTCTAGGCAGAAGATAACCAGGGCTTAAACCATCATGGGTTCAATGGACATAGGAAAAATGTTGGATTCTGGATATATTTTGAAAGGAAAGACATCAGGATTTGCTGGTGGGATTAATTATGGGATATGAGAAAGAGAAAATAGAGTTAAGGATAATTTCAAGGGTTTTTCTCTGAGCAGGTGGGAAGGACTTGACAAGATCTGAACTAAAGAAGGCTAGGAATGGGATAGATTTGGAGGGGAAGATCAATAGTTCATTTTTTTTAAAGTTTTATTTTTATTTATTTACACACTACAAGAACTGGGTGTAGGCCAGAGGTGTGGGGGAGGAGGGAGTTGAGAGGATTCACCAGAGACAGAGTAGGGATCAAGATAGGCATATATCTACAGAAACACTGCTGAGGGGAGCAGTGGGTGAGTCAGGAGAGATCTGCTGTGCCAGGGATCTAACTCGTGCCACAGTGGCTGGTGATAACTTGATAGCTCTGAGACTTTAACCCCTATGCCACCAGGGAGGCCCAAGAGTTCATTATTGAATATATAAAATGGGACAATAAACACACATAGGGCTTTAGTGAGGGTTAAATAAAATAGTATTTGCATGGATAGCTCTCCATAAATGCCACTTTCCCTTTTTTTTTTTTTTATGCAGCAATTGGGACGCTTCCAAGCCAGTTTGACAGATTGCCTTTCTACAGATATATAATGAGCCAATCATATGCCAAAACCACTCAGGTGGTTTTCTCACTCTTAAACTTTCACTGTCAGTATCAGGGTCTTTCGATTTGTCAGTTTCTTGGTGATGTTAACACATGGATATGATGATGAATTTCCGCATTAGTGGAACCTCAGGCCCAGGCAGCCCCTCATCTCTATTCTCTCTCTTTCCATGTTTCTCTTGCCCTGTAGGTGTCAGATGAGCAAGAGGTGAGACCTTATAACAGTGATTAAGATATATGGAAGGAAAAGAATTTCTCCAAAAGCTACACTTCTAATTTAAAAAGGTAGCTGACTTAACATTAGGTCACAGCTTTCTTTTAGCTCTTTGACTCATTTGGTTCTGAATAAATTTGCTGGCATGTAGCATATTACAAATGCTGAATGAATAAAAAAATGGTTATGACATCCACATTAAGAAGCATTTCCATAAAGAGAATGAATGTAGGAATGGAGATTCTCAGGATGGAGAAAGACAAGTGTCCAAAGGATGCTAACCAAAGTGCCAACTGTGGATATGGAAAGTTCTTTATATGTTTGTGTTTTTAACAATGAACTTATTTATAAGATAGTAGATAAATTTTTAACAAGTGTCTGAAATGTTAGGTGATATTTGTGTGGTTACCCATGTGATAGTTTTCTCAGGGGTAACATTGCTTCATCTGAGTCACAGCCTGACACTGCTGTAATAGTGATGTGTGAGAACAGTCAAGTATATGTGAGGTGGCAACAGCTTAGGAAAACAGATAACCTTCTTCAGAAGTGCTCAAACTTCCCTCTTTTGCTGAGGTTGGTGACTGCCCAGACACAAATCTTTGCTCACTGTCACTCAATGGGTCACAGATACCTGCTTATTCTAAGAAAGAGCCTTTGCCCCAGGCAGAGATGGATGAACTCAAGTTTTTATGCATGTATATGCTGGCTGATGGCATGGGGGCTCCAGCTAAATACAGGACTTCTCTGACAGCTTCAAGAAGAACAAAATCTTTGTATCTAGAAATTGTACTTGAGGCACCTCTGGGGTGGTATATATGAGAACAGAAATTGTGTTTAAGTTCTGAAAATTAAGTTTGTGGACTCTTGTACTGTGGGTATTAGTATCCCAAATACATAGACTTTATTGACTGTAAAATAGTTCAAGATACAGGCTAAGTTCTCACATGGTCTCTCAAGAAAACCATCAAAATGTACAGATGTAGTATTTGAGTACCTGTCTTTGAGCCTTGGGGTCCTCAAATTGGAAGCCCTAATACTGTCTTGATCCAGCATTGTTTTCCTGGGCTCATCCTTAGAGCCCAGAGTAGCTCAGTTACCTAAAAATGACACCGTTCTCATACTCTCTTGATTCTTAAGGTTCCATTGCAGGGTGCCAAATCAGGTCAGGTAGGGAAATATCACTGAATGGGTCACAGGTATCTACCCTGCTCCCTAAGCCACTGAGGTGTGCTGATGGGAGTGACTTTGGTGGACAACTTTGCTTCAACACTGAATGCCCCCATAGGGCTGCTGCCTCATCCATTATAGTGACATTTATGTTGGCAACTGTCCTTGCTTCTGTTTATGTCCCCTTCATCCTGATGCCCCATGTCTCTTTTGGATTCTCTGGGGCTTGGGTGGTGAGTGCAGATGAGAGCTCTCTTCAGTACCGAGCAGGGTATGAGTAGATGGTAAGCGCTGAGCCTCTGCTGGCCACTTGCTATTCCTTCTCCTGGTAGTTGTCTTTCCCTGACTCTGCATTGCTAACCTCTGTCTAATACTCCTCTCTGCTTTCCCATGCCAGGCATTCAGAACTGCTCCCTGTGGGGAGAAAAGCAGCTTAGGTGCCTGGTGACCTACATGTTACATTTTCATTGGGCATTAGCCTGTTGGGTATCAGCCAAGATCATGGCTAGGTCAAGTTACTGTGTGGCAAATAGTTGCTGGGCCACCCATCAAACTTCTATCAGTTTAAGGTACTGAAGTATCAGACAGAAGAGTATTTGCTGCATCTTAAGTCCAAATCTTCATATGACCAGAATCAGGGTACCCTGAGAGTGAGAAGAGAGCCTGTCTGAATCCTGGCTCATGAATTCCCCTTCCTTCTAGTAATTCTGCCTCTGTCTAAGGGCATCTGGTAGCGTCTCCAAGAGCCCAGGCCAACTGAGGAGCAGAGAAAAGTTGAGGCAAGGAGCATCTACCTGCCAGAACCTTGAGACTGTGCCCTCCTCTTCCCCTTGTGCTTTATCCTCAGTCCCCTATTCCCTATGATCCATTTCCTGACCACTTCTCCTTTTCCTTGCCTGACCACCCAGCTCAGGTCATCATCTTGTCAGGGTAATTATAAGCCCCCTACTGACATTTTGATTAGCACAGTAGTCTGAGTGAGTCTTTAAAAATGAAAATCCGGGCCTCCCTGGTGGTTCAGGCAGTTGAGCACAGCGCTGTGAAGCTGTCCGCAGCCTCTGCAGTGCCGGTTCAATCCCCACTGGCCTCGGAGCAACCCACATGGCGAGCAGACCTCTCCTGTCTTGCCCGCTGCTCCCCTCAGCAGTGTATTTCATCAGTCTGTCTGTTCTGTTCCCCGCTCTGTCTCTAGTGAATCCTCTCACCCTCCCGCGTATCTGGCCTGTACTCCGGCTCTTGCATAAATAAAATAAATAAATCTTTTTTAAAAAAAAAAGAAAATCCATCTCCTTGTTAATCAGATCTCAGCTAATGTCACCTCCTCAGAAAGGCTCCCACTGACCCCTCTAATATCATCATACCATCATGTTTTATTTGCTCCGTTGCTCTTACCTCTGACATTATCTGAGAAATTCTGCTTTACTGTCTGTCTTCTCCACTAGAATTTAAGCACCAAGAGAATAGATAATTTGTCTTATTCCACTAGTTCTCAATCTTCAGGACAGTGCCTAATGCATATTAAGTAGGTTCTCAGTAAGTATTTATTGAATGAATCTCTTCATCCTCCAGAAGAGTTCACATTCCAACCACTGGTTGTTTGGCAATCCTTAGAGTGACCTGGGAGCTGAGTGGAGAAGAGATATCCTCTCCTTGGTGATTAGCAAGGTGTGAATCTGCCATGACCCCAAGAGATGGGGTAAGAGCATCTTGGCAGGTGGCCAACCAGTAGGCTGCAGGTCTCTTTAAAAGCAGCAGGAAGTCAGGCTCTGAAGATAAGAACTGTGACTATAAGTGTGATAAATGTGGGAAGAGGGCCAGAGGGCAGAAAGTTGGGGGTGGCCAGGCAGCCCCTGTGCTGCTCCCTGGGGATGCCCAGATCTCTGTGGCTGGCCAACCAGCACCACATGCTTCCTGTGGGGAGCAAGGAGAGGAGATCCCCTGTGAAGGCCCTGGAGTTGGGGCTGCCCCAATTGCTTCATCCTTGTCTTCACAAAGATGGCTGAGAGACAAGACTGCTGTCCCTCATATCACCGTTCATGGACACCTGGGGGGTCTGCCCAGGTAGGGCATTATATATACGTGCACTCTTGTCCTCTGCTCCTCTGTGTTTTTTTTTTTTAATTTTTTTAAAAGATTTATTTTTGCATACAAGAGCTGGGGTACAGACCAGAGGTGTGGGGCGGGGGGTGAGAGGATTCACCAGAGACAGAGTGGGGAACAGAACAGGCAGACTGACCAAAGTACAGTGCTGAGGGGGGCAGCGGGGTGAGTCAGGAGAGGACTGCTGCACCATGTGGGTTGCTCCCTGGCTGGCCCGGAATCACCTTGTGCTGCATTGGCTGCGGGTAGCTTCATAGGTTACGTCTTAACCCTTGCAGCACTAGGGAGGCCCTCCTCTGTGTTTTAGTTTTTACATTTGTAAATGCTTCCACCATACTAGTGGTGGTGAAGAGTCTAGGATATCTGGTGGGAACTGGGGGATGAAAGCTCAAGGAGGAATGAGGCTTCAGAAAGTTAACATATGAGGTATGAGAGGCAACCCAGGGCTGGTGGAATGGCCAGGTAAGACCCCTGTTGGCCACTCCAAACTCTCCATGCCATCATCCTTTTTGTTTTTAGGGTCCCGAAGCAGCCATGGGACTTAGAGTCCTCAAGTACTAGGTAGCATCCTAATGCTACAAAACAAATATCTGGCATCTCTCTTAGTATCTTGTCTTCACTGGTTCATTGCTGATGGCAGGGACTGGAAGAGCACCTAACGTGGAGCCTCAGGAACAAGAATTCAAGGGTCATATCTGCTATTCTCTGGCTCTGTGACTCTGGACAAGTTAATTCTTGCTTGAAGCTTTGGTTATGCCCTCTGAGAAGTAGAAGGTCATGGTCTCTCTTTCTCTCTCTTGCTCTCACACACATGATTGTGACTAGCATGAAAGAAATGGTATAAGTCCTTCCAGTGACTATGGGATTCAGCTCCCTACTGTTACGAGGGTCTTCTTCTGGGGTAGACAAAGTAGGGGATCTGTGGATACAAACTAAGGAAGCCAGAAAACCACTGTCCTGACTCAGTGTCTTGCCCCACCCTGGCCTGTGGCCCACATTCTGAAGGCCTTAGTCAAGACCTGGGGTTTCCCTTTAGATCCCATGGGACAAGAAATATAGCTCTGTGGAAAACCCTCTAAACAACTAGAGATAGCCCTGCCTCAGAAGAGCTTAGAGCTGCCAGAATAGATGGGTGGACCAGTTATGCCTGCCTCCTGGGGAAACCCAGGCATGAGTTGGCACCTGGACCTGAATTCAGTTCCTGTCCATCCTGCTCGAGTGAGACTCTGAGGGAAGCTCTGGAGGGAGGCTGAAGTGACCAGCTGAAGTGACCAGCAGGTCAGGGACTGCTCCTCTCTGAAACATGCAGGACATCCTACTTTTCCAAAGGTCCCCAGCCCCAGTACCTGAATTATTCAGTTGTCTTTCACTCATATTACTTCCTGTTCGATGTTTCCCTCTCACCCTAAGTCCCTGTCAAAAATGCCACCTCAAAAACCTGCTCTCCATAGGATTAGGGATAGTTCCTAACTTCTGGGTCTTCCCTGACTCCATGATGCCACTACTCATTACTGTCTCCCTCCTCTGTGACCAGTTACTGGCCATATCTACAACTGCCTCCTCCTAGTTTTGCAAGTTCCTTAGGGCTTGGTCCTGTCTTTTGTTGGCTTTTCTAGATGTCTCAAACTTATGATATAAAGACCAAGTCATGGCCTACACACTCAAACCAGAGTCCCTGCCTTTTCTTAATGTGCTGCCCCATG